GAGAGAGAGAGAGAGAAAGAGAGAGAGAGTAGACTAACCAATGAAACATGAAACTGTTTGAAAGTATTAAATACTTAGTGATCGGAAAAGCATGTAATTGCAAGATTGTGCGACAATCTTAGGTTTTTGTCGCTTCAATTTGAAAACAATAACTTGTCAATAAAACTACAAAAATAAAAACGTACTGCACACTTTAATTATTTAGATCGGGTTAAATCGCATATGTTCAAACATTTACACACACTTAAAAGTTATAGCCAATTGATTTATGGAGTTAAAATTGACGAAGAACACATACAAGGATATATGTGGTTTCCCGTATATCAAATGAGACTGGTTTTATTAGTGCCTATATACACAATTTTTAAATACAGGGCAGGTTTTGGATACATTACGTTTTGCGTAAAAAAAAAATGGTCGTTTGCTATGTAGTTGAATATTTACTCATGAAAATGAATGAGCAACTCAGTAGAAGAGCGGTTAGAAATACACATTTTGATAAACACACGCATTTGAATAATAGAAATGTGCCTGATAAACTTTTGAGTTGCACTAGTGAAGATATAACTAAATAACTACCTTCTAATGTGTATATTAATAACTTTAGTGATATTCCCTGACAAGAGGCCAACTCAATAGAAGTAATGACTATTTTTGCTATTTTGGCTCTATGTATCGTGGTATTAAGCAATGAATATCAAGGTAAGGCGTTTCATTATACCAATACCATGTTTCAAGCAATAAATCGTATATATTTTAAACAACTTACCCCATATCATATTTTGTTCAAAATTTGAATAAATTGTTGTAACACACACACAGTGCTGCATAAATGAAACGAATTTTCAAATAAAACATACAAATATTGAATAGATTATATTACCGAACAACTGTCATGAACAAAAGTATATCTGAAGCTGAAATCCAACATACTGCCAAAGAAAATCGCAAACAAAATATCTGACAATAAAAATTGCTAATTTTTGCGTTCTCCATTTATATATAGTGTTTTTTTTATATATATATAACTATTTTTTATGATAAAATACGTCCGTTGATGATGTTCCAAAGGGAACATGTTTTATTGAAAAATAATTAAAGTTAACAAGTTATATTGAAATGGTTCGAAGGTTAAGATTGATACATACGTAAAATGTTATTAAGTGATTGCTGAAATGATGAATATGCTATATTGCAAAAATCATTCAAACAAAATGCTAAATTACTAAATTAAAAATGCTAAAAAAATAAAATTGAGAATGGAAATGGGGAATGTGTCAAAGAGACAACAACCCGAACATAGAGCAGACAACAACTGAATGCCACCAATAGGTCTTCAATGCAGTGAGAAACTCCCGCACCCGGAGGCGTCCTTCAGCTGGCCCCTTAACAAATATGTATTCTAGTTCAGTGATAATGGACGTCATACTAAACTCCAAATTATACACAAGAAACTAAAATTAAAAATGATACAAGACTAACAAAGGCCAGAGGCTCCTGACTTGGGACAGGCGCAAAATGCGGCGGGGTTAAACATGTTTTTTGAGATCTCAACCCTCCCCCTATACCTCTACCTAGTGTAGAAAAACAAACGTACAACAGTACGCACAGTAAAACTCAGTTTAAGAGAAGTCCGAGTCCGATGTCAGAATAGGAAACAAAAGAAAATAAACAAAATAACAATAATACATAAATAACAACAGACTACTAGCAGTTACTGACATGCCAGCTCCAGACCTCAATTAAACTGATTGAAATATTATGTCTTCATCATATGAATATCAGGCACAATCCCTCCTGTTAGGGGTTTAGTATTATACCGTCATAAAATATATGAGAAGAACATAACCCGTGTCATGCCAACAACTGGTTTTAGAATTAATATGTTTAATTCCGATGCAAAGACCCTATAGGTGAATCAATATTAAAGCCAAAATATGCAATCTTTAATGACCTGACAACAGTATCGTAACTATATTCCTTCTTAATAAGTCTGTTTAAAGATTTTATTAGCTTTTGAGTTGAATACTGACATTTTTGTGCTTTGTAAAGAATATTACCATAAAAGATTGGATGTGAAATACCCGAACGTATAAGATGTCTTCATGTTGAGTTATATTTACGAATGATGTCCTTATACCGATGATAAAATTTAGTAAATGTTTTGACTAGTTTATGATATCGAAAACCCTGGTGTAATAATTTTTCAGTAATATATAAATTTCTCTCGCTAAAATCTAATACGTTGTTACATACACGAGTGAATCGTACACGTTGAGATATATAAACACCATAAGATGGTGACAAGGGAATGTCACCATCTAAAAATGGATAATTAACGATAAGAAATGAAAAATCATCTCTTTTATCATAAATTTTTGTATTAAGCTTCCCGTTAATGATAAAGATATCAAGATCGAGGAAAAGACAGTGGTCATTGTTAGTATTAGCTTTATTTAAAGTAAGTTCAACAGGATACATTTCTTTAGTATACATACTGAAGTTGTCATTATTGAGAGCCAATATATCATCCAAATATCTAAAAGTATTGTTAAATTTTTGTATCAGATGTTGTTTCGATGGGTCTTTGCTGATTTTAGTCATAAATTGTAACTCATAACAATACAAAAAACAGGTCCGCAATAAGTGGTGCACAGTTAGTCCCCATTAGAATTCCGATAAGTTGACGATATACGGAATCTCCAAAGCGAACAAAAATGTTATCAAGTAAAAATTCAAGGGCAGATATAGTATCAAAGCATGTCCAATTGGCATAGCTCTTTTGTTTGTTGCTACTAAAAAATGACCTAAAAGAGTTAGAACATATGACTTTTTAAATGCCCATTGAATTAGGTGTGTGAATTTTTTCTTAATAAGAATATGAGGCAAAGTGGTATATAGGGTAGAAAAATCAAAACTTTGAACAGATTCAAAATCACCAATATATGCATGCAATTTATCAAGTATATTGAAAATGTAGAAAGAAGTAAAATGTTACATTGCAATTTAAAACAAAAGTAAAAAGTAAACTCACAAAAATACTGAACTCCGAGGAAAACTCAAAAAGGAAAGTCCCCAACCAAATGGCAAAATAAAAAAAAAACCAAACACATCAAACGAATGGATAACAACTGTCATATTCCTGACTTGGTACAGGCATTTTCCTATGTAGAAAATGGTGGATTGAACCTGGTTTTATAGCTAGCTAAACCTCTCACTTGTATGACAATCGCATCAAATTCCATTATATTATTAAAGTAGTAGTTAATAAAGAAATATATTATATAAAGCTGTTTTCAAAAAAATATTATGTCATAGTATAATTGTTGAAAAAAACCCAGTCAAATTGAAATTGTTAGAAATTGACATGTTAATATTGCAATTGTTTAAAAGTAACTTGCTATATTACAATTGTTAAATTGTAAAAAGGTGTATATATTTAAATATAGGTAAATAAGTCTAAATTGAAAACAACGTTCAAACCTATGATTGCGTTGGATAAAAACCGCAATTTTTATACGTGTGCATGCAACACAAATTTCTCTTGGTAGAGGGGTCTAAATACAGCACAAACAAAATTTTCCAAAAGACCAAAAAAGGGAAAAAGTATATTTTAACAATACGCATTTGACTAACAGGTTGAACAACGGATTTCTTTAACCCTGTTGACTGCCGTTGGCGATTGCCAAATAAACGGATCACAAGATGTAACAAAATGGATTTTTATTATTAATTTAATACCAAAAAGAAAACAATAAACTTGCGGAAAAGATGGTATACCGCAAACATGAGGTGCAAAAATTTGTACACAATATCCGGATTTCGACAATTAATGTCTCTTCAGTGATGTTAGGAATCGAAACGGTATTTGGAAGAAATATGATATACCTCAATTTAGGACAGACTCTTGAATTTTGAAGAGTCGAAATAGGATGAACGGATCATATAAAACCGAAGGCAAATATAATACAAGCCCAAACGAAAAAATAAATGTTATACTTCAACTGTTAAAACGTATCTTGATATACTTCAGTTGTTAAAAAGTACGTGCCATATTGGGAATTTGTGTAAAAGTTAAATGTTATAAAGAAAATTGTTGAAACGTTATATTGATATTGTAACTGATACAAACATATCATTTTTGTAAAGCAACATAATAATTACCATAGACGGAAAGATAGATTCTACCACTCTATCGAGTGTGATACGATATTTATCCACTCGAGACAGTTAAAGTTTAAGATTTAAAACGCGAGGCTCGCCGAGCGTTTTAAATATTTAAAATTTAACTTCAAGAGTGGATAAATATCGTAAAGCATAAGATTTGGTGGTATAATCTGTTTCTCTAATGATTTTTAAACGATATGCAGACAAACTCAATCCTTCTTTTCTATGGAGAGGGCTTACATAGGCTTTGACTGTTGCCCAATCCAATTCAATTCATTTGAATAAAATACTGTTTAAACTGTTTGAATGATCTGCAAAAAGATGTGTTCTTTCTATGTGACATGGTCGCCTTTTTTTATGACGTCACAATAGGAAATTCAGAGGAAAGCAAGAAAATTTGACGTCATAATCGAATTCTGACCAATGAAGAACTGAGATATAACGAATCACACGTTGATTAAATGAAAATAATCAACAGGTCAGGAAAAGGATAAATCGTGCAAGAATTAGAGAAAGAAAATTAAGGAAGCAGTATTCTATTTTATTGCACTTGTGCAAATATAGCTTCAAATTCGACGTCATAAGTGACAAAAATATTTCTAAAATAATTTAAAAAAAATTTGTTATGCAACAAAAGCTTGTGCAGTATAAATATTTACTCTGGACAATATTCATATTACGATATTGCAATTTTTAGAAAAAAGTTTGCTATTTCACAATATAGACAATATTGCACATTTAAAAGTGAAATATTTCGTTGCAGTTGTTAAAAAATAACAGGTTATGTTGCAGTTGTAAACAAATAAGCATATTATATTGTATTCAACAGATACTTGCAAGGCACCCTACCAGTGAATAGCAGATGGCTGTTATTACTTCAGTACAGAAAATGTGGCCAGAGATTCTGCTGCATATGTATGTACTTTTAATGCATTAAAGTAAGGAATAGCAATACCTTGCTTGAAGAGTCTAATATAAAACTGACGATCCAAAAAAGCACGAGGACAAAGGAAAAATCTAGGAATGGAATTAAATGACAAAACTATTTGTAAAAGCCACAAGCAAATTTCTTTTTCCATAAAAAAGGTAGCTTCATTCTATCTCGATCTTCTAATCGATTACTTGTTCACACATACACTGCTCTCGCTACAAATATTACACTAATTTGAAAACATAATTTATATTTTTCTAATATACCAGCTTGTTCATGTTTCGCATATTGAGCGTGATTAAATACATGTAATTGAATAACACCTATTGTGTGAAAAATATATTTCAATGAAAACCTGAGTAATATTGAGACATATGAGGAATTGCTAATTTCTTATATTTAATGTCGAATAAATGGCAACAAATGTTGAATGCGTTATTTATAAATCAAACTGATTTTTATCAGCTGCAATATTATAAAAGCGTTTCACGTGACACGATGAAGAAAACTTACAGTTTCGCTGGTATTTAAGAGTTTACATTGCAAATAAGATTATCTAAAATCTGCAATCTGTAAATCATGAAAACTAAAATTGTCTTTACGAAATTTTACATTTATTTAAAAGCAGAGTTTTAGAGATATAAAACATTGTATAATTCTAATAATAACACAGAAAAATAAAGAGTGAATAACAAGAACCCCACCAGAAAGAAATCTATTTACAAACACATACATTGTTTAATACACTTGTAAATTGTTCGGTAATTAATGCAGGCTGGCTGCGTGGAGCGTGGGGGATATCTAGCCATCTTTGAAACTCTGGAAGAAGCAATGTTAGTGAAAAATGAGCTTCTTAGAAGGAATAAAGGTATGCTAAAAGTACAAAACGTTGCATGTGCTTATTGTTAGGACTTATATGTGATTATTTGTCTTGGAATAGTTTTATAAAGAAATTATGACTTATCATATGCAAATATGAAAATAAGAGACAATTATCCAAGAGAGATTAACAAACGCAGATATAAATCACTGTACGGCCTTCAAAAATAAGCAAAACGCACCATTTTCTACATAAGGAATTGCCTGTTTCAAGTCAGGAATATGATAGTTGGTTTCCATTCGTTTGATGTGTTTGTGCTTTTGATTTTGAAATTTGATAAGGGACTATTCGTTTTGAATTTTCCGAGGAATTCGGTATTTTTGTTATTTCATTTTTTTCTCATACAGGATAGCAAGCTTTAAAAGGCCCCAATCTGGGAAATTGGTAAAAATGGGAAACCAACGGCCTGATTAATGTACAAAACAGTAACTGAAGTACGCATTTGATTTTCAAAAAAACTAACAACCTGACTTAGGACAATGTGGCAGAATTAAACAATTTTGTGTGCGACCCCATCCTACTTAACTAAGGATAGTGTTGTAACATGAGACCAACCTGTAAAATCAGTTGAAAAGCGCTTGACTCAACAGATCAGTAGAAAGAACAAACACACATAGCACCAATTATCAGAGAGTTCTCGTAATTACGGAATGGATTTAGTTTGAAGACGTCATAATCAGTCTGCGAAAAACATGCTTTGTTATTTGTCAAAATATAAGTATCGACAGAATTTAGGACCGTAAATGTCAATAGCTGTATAGCAATACGTATTTCGTTACAGTTTAATTTCCTGATAACACAATTAATGACATAAAATTCCGTGGTTTGATAGATAGACTTTGCTGATATTATATACGGTTTTGTATTGGTAGGTCTATACTACTATGTTGGTGGTCGTAACCTCAACAGGAACAATCCTAAAGGTGATTGGAGGTGGATAAAGAAAGGGGAAATGTTGAAGATGACCTACTTCATTTTTCCTAAAGGGCAGCCCAATGGGACACCCGAAAACCCACAGGAATGTATGGGTTTTGATCCTCATCTTCATTACAATCTCAACGATCTATATTGTGATAATTCTTCTGCGAGTACGCATGCATATATTTGTGAACAATGAAAAAAAAAATATCCAAAAATCAATCGTTTGATAGTTGATTTGTTTTGTATTGATAGTTTTATTGATTGAAAGTAAATGCCCTGAAAAACTACTTTTTTTCCTGTTTGATACATCCTATATGCACGGTTTACGAAATGAATACAAAACTTCATTGAATAAAAAAAAAACGCTTTTAGCTTTTTTCTTTAAATATTTTTAGATTTATGTTCTCTTTTCAGTTCAAAACTTTTGATTTTATTGATACCTTTCGTATGTACGGTCGTTTTGTGTGTGTGTGTGTGTGTCTTTAGTTTGGTTTTCGTGGTCCGATATTTTGTTTTATGTATATATTATTTGTCTTTACATTACAGAATATGTTATGTTATCATCAGTTTTTGGAATGTAAAATGTACACCAATAAAAAATATCACAGGGATTTTTAGAAAATATGTGTGGTCAAAGGATATATGAATTATATTGAATGTATTATTAACTACAGGACAATGTATGAAAGATTATAAAATATTTATACAAAAACATCGTGGACAGCTCTGCCAAAACAAACTGTACAGAAAAACAAAACATAAAATTCTGTGTGTGAGATTTTAAAATTGTAAATTAGTGAATTGATGTTTATTATTGGAGAAATCTATCTGCTTACAAACTAATTCTGTTGTTATCTGTCAGAAATATTTAAGAATAAAAAAACAATTATGAATAATTAAAAAATCAGCATTAAAGTTAAAATTAGTTGCTTGTATTACGTATATAATTATGTTCTCACATATTGTATTTATTCAAGTATATCATTCTCCGCTCATATTTTAGATCATGTATCAACTGTATTTCCTGTACACTTTTATCTGAAAAAATTGTGTAGCCTGAAGTCTATTTTGTAAAAGTTCTTATTACTGGTGCATATAAAATCACCATCATTATATGTATGTATCCTAGCTTTGAGATTCATTTACTTCCGGAATAAAGTAGTATTACTAAATAAAAATGCCATACATCAAATGATAACCTGTATCATGTTTATCAATAGGCACTATTTACCACAGGGGAAACGTTCAAGTACATCTCCTAAACGTGTCTGCCAAATAAGCAATATGAACGATTAAACGTGTCCATTTGTGTTAAAACCCAACAAAGATACCAGGCTTATACAATTATGTACGCCAGACGCGGGTTTCGTCTACGAAAGACTCATCAGTGACGCTCGAATACAACAAAACGAATTGCCAAATTAATTTAGAAGTTTAAGAGCATTGAATTTGAGCGTATTTAATGACCAAATCAGTTCAAATCTTTTACATAAACTAATTGAATCGACTGATGGAGAAACTTATTGGCGTTGTCAGTTTGTTTTCGATCTATGAGTTTGACTGTCCCTCTGGTATCTTTCGCCCCTCTTGTATACATTAATAATATAAAAATTGCGTTTAGAAGTGTTCTCAAACGCACACATCTCATCAGATTACAATATATATCAAAGGTTTACGATACCTCAGACCAGTTCGAAAATCAGAGCCGATCGACTATGTTTGAGACAGTTACGCTCTTTTCAATATAAATCATACGGAATATGACACCGTAAGTGCTCTCTGGTCACTATTTGTTCTTTCGTCATTATTTGCTCACTTGTCATTATTTCCTTTTTAAGTTCAATTGAAATTGATGTTAAGAATTAACATAAGTAATATCTAGGAATAATTTGAAATCAAAACTGATCGAATATGTCTTTGGGAGTTATGCCTTTGAAAATGAAAATGTATTAAAAATTATAATTGATTTTCCCATTTTAGCCCCGTTCATTGAGTAGATCTTTAGGGAACTTATTACAAGAGAGGGTTCGTTGAGAGCAATTATATAAGAACCTAAAGGGAAATAGAGTACAACTATTCAACCCTTTCAAAATAATATTAACTTTTTACATAAAAAGATAATACAACTGGACACATCAGTACATGAGGATCGGCTATGAAGTTTTTATGATGTCATGAATATAGAGAAATTGATAAATTTTATTTAAAATTGCCAATTTACACATAAAACTTGACAAAATAGACATTAGTCAAGGCTTTAACAGTAAAGATAATTTACACACATTATCATATTTGTAAAACCCATCCTGTAGCAAATATATCGTGTTGGGTATAGCATTAGCTTTAATATAAGTATTAATGACAAAACATCGAAATAAAGCTATATTGAAAGTAACTATTTTTGCAGTTGCTAATAATTATACAAAATATGAACCCATAATGCAAATATGTTAAAAAAAACCAAAAACTTATAAACTGCTATCTGACAGATTTAAGATATTCTTTTTATTTTTGAAGAATTTTATTTGGTTGATTTATCATAGTTTCTTTTGATTGTTAAACCCGTGTAACCCAAAGATTTTTTTTTACTTCAGAAAACCTTTATGAATTCAAAATTTATTTTTCTTTCAAATTAGTCAAATAGGTCACCTCAAGATCCCTTGGATTGCTTTGGACTCAATTAAAATTTCAACGATCTGTGTATCGTGGTAGGTCGTTTTGAAATAACTGTTGATATATTTATGAACACAGGGTCAATGCTCAGTAGTTTTCTACATTGAATTTATGCTGCACCCTTTTATAATGTTTAATATTATGAAATTTATATAAAAGGTAAAATAAAAAAATACCTAACTCGATGAAAATTCAAAACGGAAAGTCCCTAATCAAATGGCAAAATCAAAAGCTCAAACACATCAAACGAATGGAAAACAACTGTCATATTCCTGACTTGGTACAGGCACTTTTTTGTGTGTAGAAACTGGTGGATTAAGCCTGGTTTTATAGCTTGCTAAACCTCTCACTTGTATAACAGTCGTATAAAATTCCATTATATTAATAACAATGTGTGAACAAAACAAACAGAAATAATAGGTAAAAATTCAAAAAATAGGGGTACAGCGGTCAACATTGTGTTATAATCTTTATTACTTTAAAAACAAACCAAATATATCAACAAAAAATACAAAAAGGGCATTATTGTCTCTTTGACACATTCCCCATTTCCATTCTCAATTCTATTAAAGATAAGAAGGTGAGGAATGCTAACCAACAAAAAACTCTCCACAAGAGAAAATGTCTGAATAGTTTCCGAAATCACTTAATGTTTCTGTTTACCAAAAATTTGTTTTGATTGCTTGTTTTGTTAGTTTTTTTAAATTGTTTGATTGTTTTGTTTTGTTGTTTTGTTTTGTTTTGTTTTGTTGTTTTGTCTTTTTTGTATTTTCTTTTGTGTAAACGTTTTTTTTTTTTGTGTCTTATAATTAAAAATGATATTTTCAAATACAAAATAGTCCTTGCATTCACCAGCATTAGTCCAGCAAAATTAAAATTAACAATTTGAATATTTCGCTAAGGTTTTTAATGCATTCGCACGAAGTCAAGGAGAATAACTGTTACCAACTTAAACAGAGCTGGTAGATACCAAAAAGAAAGTCAAACTTATTGGTCGAAGAAAAAATCTGTACATTTATTGATTAAATATTTATCCAATTATGCTTCCTGTGGCTGGGAATCTGAAAATGTATAAAAATGTAAAAATTAATCTTAATTTACCAGTAATATACATTTTGTACATTTTCCAAGATTTTGCCAAGAAAACATAGTTAGGACAATCTTAAAAATCCAAGTAACGTGAGTACATTATTTCCGACCACGTGAGTACATTGTTGTTGAGCACGTGAGTCATTTTGTATGATTTCGACTTTGAATGCAAGCTACATTATGTGTATGAAAGTAAAATAAAAATACCGAACTCCAAGGTAAATTCAAATAGGAGGAAGTCGATAAAAACTGACCAAATTAAACGTTAGACTTGATCAACCAACGGAACGAATGAAAAACAACAGTTATATTCCAGACTTGTAACAGGCATTGTACAATGAAAATGGTGGGTTTAAACCTGGTTGTATAGCTAGCTAAACCTTCCACTTGTATGATACGAGTTTAGAATCCCGTTATATTGACAACATTGGGTGAGCAACAAAAACAGACATAATAGGTTTATGTGACTAATATTGAGATTTAGCAGCCAAAATTGAAGGATTTGCTTTCCTATCCGGGGAACCTGAGAGCCCCAATCTCCCCAGTTTTTGATGGGGGTCATGTTGCTTAATCTTCACCTTCTATGTGATGTTTTGTGTACTGTTGTTTGTCTTTTCGTCGTTTTTTTTTGCCATGGCAGTGTCAGTTTGTTTTCGACTTAGAGTTTGAATTCCCCTTTTGTATCTTTCGCCTCTCTTTCATTCTTAAAAATCTTTGATGTCAAGCTCCGAGATGTCTTTTAATAAAGCAGTAAAATGATTCTTGTAAGTAGGCTTCTCGGTTTTATTTTACACTTGTTGTATACAAATGTGGGCGCAAGCTTAGGGTACGACTTTTCAGCAAAGACCAAATAACATGGATGTGAGCAACAATTGGATACCAAAAGGTCTTCAGCACTGTACAAAACCAAAACCGTTTTTGTATCACCAAGAATATATTGTTTTATTTGTATGTTGAACAACTTTTCGAATTTTTGGTTTTAACGCTCTACAACTATTTAACTTGGATTTGTAATTTGTTTTGATTCGTGTACCACTGCTGATTCTTATGTAGACAACTAGCTTCTGGTGTATAAAGTTATAAGCCTGGTACCGTTTATGAGTTTTAATATCATGTTTTTGCTTTTTATACCTTCATTATATCGAGTTCTTTCATACATTATGGACAATTCACTCTTGCAACTTGTACCGTAAGGTACAGTTAACCAAGTAGTCAGTAGATTTTCCAGGTTTGATAAGATCCATCAGTAAGCCATAACATTGCATAATAGCACATAAACTCATCATAGATACAATTATTCAAAATTATGTACATCAGACGAACGTTTCTACAAAAGACTCACCAGTGACGCTCGAATCAAAAAAGTTTAATAGGCTAAATTAAATACGAAGTTGAAGAGTATTTACCCAAAATTCCAACAGGTTTAGCCAAATACAGCTCAGGTAATATATTCCTGGGGTAGAAAATCCTTAACATTTCGAAAAATTCAAATCCCTGCAAGCCTTTCGTTTACGTTGATTTCAATTGATATATAAGCAGGTATGTTATGAGTTCTTTAGTACAGACACCCGTCGTTCCCTATGGTGTCATAAGCTTATCGACATTTATATTTGAATTTTACACCCATTTTTTAGACAAAATAGATATGAACCATATTTAAAATAAAAAGATATTTTACACACATACACTTCTTTTTAAAATACAACTTGTAGCAAAATACATCCATGGGTAAACCTTGCTAAAATCTTGATATTAATGATAAGGATCATGAAAATCAGGCAATTTAGACAGTTTTTTTTTACATACATAATTATTTTAGCACTTAATTCAAGAAGTGTAAAGCTTTGATGCAAACATGTGAGACAAAATTAAAAACAACACATGACTACTGATGTCTGACAGACTTAGGTCTTACAAATATATAAAAAAAATGTTACAATATAGATTTATGAATGTTTTGCTTTCCGAACTCAAGTATGCTAAAAAAAAGAACCTTTTCATACAATCTCCTTTAGAAATATTTGCATTTAAACAAAATTATTTTCAAACATTCCCATTCTGACCGGACGTGGCTGAGTATTTTTACATCCCGGAATACCAAACGGATGCCTACTTTAGCAAGCGTTTTACTGCCGGTCGGAAGAAAACCAGAAGTGATAATACATCTATTTCCTAGTCACCATGTTGGTGAGTTATGTTTGATATGAAAAATATATATATTAATGTAAAAAAAAAACAGTATTTGAATGAAACTAAGAAGTTAGAATTAAGGACATATTGTACTATACTGCAAATAAAATTTCATAAATACTTCGAAAGACTGCGTTGTGTTTATCAGAGATTACAACGTATATGTTCTAAATTTCGTAAAATAAATCCTGATTTTTTTATGAAGAATGTAATATCCCAAAAACGCTATCCCGCAACTAAACATAT